TATTATATATATATGTATATATTGCCACCCTCTACTGATGACTTGCCATTCTCTAATAGTTAAATTACCATAAAATATCACTGATGTTGTAATACTTACTTTAACTGCTGTTGAAAACACAAAGTGCCATTGACTGTGATGCAGCACTTGTGCCTATAACTTGAATTATATCTAATTTCATAATGATAATATAATATTTTTATGTGAAGTTATGTCTGCTTTGTGTCTGAGGTGGTTTTGCAATAGCTTTATGGGTATTCAGCATCGCCAAATGAATGGGAAAACTCTTTCTGTCCTTTAGTAAGAGTCCTTTCCTGGTGTGTTTTGTGCGAGGTGAATTGCTCATAAGAAAAACCTATCATGGATGGTTAATTCTGAAAACACCTCTGGCTCAGCTGCTCCCTAAACAACCAGCAATTCTGGTTTAGTTTTTCACCCTGAATTTACCATTCTAAAGATTCACAAGCAATTAAAGCCTCTGAAAGAGTTTGTCTCTCACAGTCATCACTACCCTGTTTTCTTAGCACTTACCATTACTCATGTGCTGAGATCTCTTGCATGGAAAGTTCCCAGTGTTTGATATCTTCTGAAAATCCTTTAGCTGCTCCTGGATACAATTCAAAACCAGGCGGTATGGCAAAATCGCTTCAGAATTGTTTTTTTTTTTAATTATATTTTTTTGTTTTGAGGGTTTTTTTGTGTGTAAGGACATAGGCACAAATACAGAACCCATTTTAGAGCCTTGTGTATGGGAGGGGAACTGACAAACTATTTACAAAGTAGTCTTTACTGAACCAGAAGTGAAGGAAATGTTTCCCTGATACAGACAGTAAATGATCCCAAATTTTACTCCCCAGGGTTGAGAGAGAAGGAACCGACTGAAATGAGGCCTCCTTTATCTGAACCTCACAATTATCACCCTGTAATTGCCACTGAAAGAGAGATTCAGAGACTTTCCACAAATATCTTCTGTATGGTTTGGATAAATGGACAGAATGCAGTTCAGATTTTCCTGCTTACCAGTCTAGTGACCTGTGAGAAAGGAAATAGCACAAACTGCAGAGCTCTTTTGGTAAAAAATCAGCTTTAATCTCTCCTTACAACTCTGCCACCTCCCTTGGTTTGGGACTGGGGAGAAGTCAGTAATAAAAAATGATAGCAAAGGACTTTCTGTCAGGAGCTTCTTCCCTCTCTATTTGTTTGCAGGATAGATCTGGAAAGTTTAAAATTAAAGTTAACTTTTTTGAACAGTTTTAGGAAAGATGCAGGGCTTTTTGAAGCTGATCTTTCTGAGAATCCATTTGAGCACATTGGGATGTACTTCAGTGTAGGGTTTAAATCTTGAGACTGAAAATCTTGATGTTTCTGGAGGTTTCATTCTTCACAAGCAAGTTTTCCCTAACAGATGAGAGGAAAAATAGTTTTGAATAATTGAAAAAGACTGGTAAAGAGTGGCCTTGCTGCAGGGGAATTGCTTGGTAGTGCTTAAAAGAAAAGCAAATCAAACCAAGGAAAGCATCCCTGCTAATCCAACTAGTGAAATGTGTCCATGCATAGCACAAATATTAGGAAATAATCTATGGGGCCGTATATTCTAATTGTTAATTGTGATTTTTGGCTAGTCTAAGTATAAAAATATAGTAGCATGCATTATATGTGACTGAGAAAACCATCCAGTGCAACCAATCTGTGAAACAGTCGCCCAGATATCTCCACTGAAATAAATAATCATGAAAAACCAGGATATATCAGCAGTGCTCATCACCCCACACGTTTTGACTAGCTGAGATTATTATATTGTAGTAGAAATGAATGTATTTTAATGAGTCAACCTGAATATTAGCAGTGAGTTGGCTGTTCTCTCCATGAGCTTGTTTTGGGAGGTTAAACCTGCAAAACCATTGAGTAACTCGGGTGTTGTGTTTGCCAGCTCTTTAAACACTTGATGTGCTCCAGAGGTTTTTGGGTCTGTTGCTGCTTTCTTTCTCTGTTTTCGGTGGGAATCATTCCCAAGATCTATATCCCCTTGCCAACACGTGCTCGTAATTCCCATTGAAGGGAATGGGACTTTTCTGTACAAACAATAGATTTACATAACCTGTGAAGTTGTGAATAATCCCCTTGCTGTAAAAAGAAGTGAACAACCCAGAAAGTCAGTAATAATTCTTCAGTAGTAATTATTTCTATTAGTAATTCAGTGACACCGAGCTCTCAGCCAAACCTGTATAAGTAATCCTTTTCTCTTTCCTGCCTGCTGCTGAAAAGGGGTTCCAGGTAATGCTTTTATTTTGCTCTCTAGTCCATGTTTTCCTGTCATCTCTCATTTCCCCTAAAAAGCCATCTGTCATGTTCGGTGCCAAGTCCTGCACCTTATATGTATTCATTTTATTTCCGTTCTGTACAATAACTTGGGTATTTATTTACCTACCAGTATAAAATTAACTACATGGACCATTAAACTTGCTCATGGTCTACAAATAAGGCTTTTCAGTAATATTTACTAAAATCTAGAGATGAGCAATCTCTGCAGTCCCTACTGGACAGTTTCCACCTTGAAGGAGGACTGGTTTACCTTTGGTGGGACGGTCTCACCTGGCACCTCAAGGTGTACATGTTGCTAAATTATTTAATTTTTAGATTACCTATGTCCACATCAGTGCATACAAAGGGGCACTTACTGCTCCTAGGACACATGAAAATAATGGTAACAAATCCTTGTCAAGAAGCAGTTTTTTAAAACTACTGAGTTTTGTTGCCTTCTAAAGGAAATCAGACTTTAAATTTTCACAGGTGACTTTGGAAATCTTACCAAGAGTGAATGGGAAGAGCTCTTCTTTACTTTAAAGCTGGTTCTCTGCTCCGTGCTTGCCAACACCTTTAGGTCAAGTCCCCCAGAGCACGAGGTGCATTTCTGGTCACCCCCACGGGAAGGGACCTTTTCTTTGGTGGCCACAGCTGTAATTTGTTGTCAGAAACAGCGCTCAAAGTCACACTTGGATTTTCAAACCAGAAATAAATGTTGTAACTGACATTGGGATAAGTTACCAGGGACCTCAAAGAGTTGGTGGCAGTTTGCGTTAACCATCCCCTGTTCTGTTAATAACTTTAGAGACTCAGTAATAAAAGTAGGGAGTTAAATACATCATCAGATGAGGCAACGTGGGTAGCAGTGTCAATATTGACACCATGTCTGAAACCATGAAAAACAGATTTGTTTCACAAACTACTTCAAAATGCTTGTATTCTATGATCTTAGAACAAATATTTTTATATAGCTATATATATCTCTATATACAAGGATTCTATTTTCATATTGAAAATGAAGTGCCAATGTTGAGGTATTTATTTCCCTTGTGATAGATGGCTGGAACGCTCCTTCCTCACGTTCAAACTGACCCCATCCATAAGTGCATTCACCTCAAAATGTTACTCATGCTCCCATTCCCATCATACACAGCTGTACGTGCAGGTATTTGACCACTGTGTTGTGTATGTCGTTAGGCACTTTGCTGCACGTTAAATAGCAAATGAACGGTACCTTCAGCTTTCACACCTTTAAAATAAGCGCTTGGAAAATGTATTTTGGTGTCCTTCAGCGTTCCTGCTTTTGAATGCACGAGTTGTCATCTGGAAACTTAGTTGGGGAAAAAAACACATGAGTGCTTGTCATTTACACTGCAGTTCCACTGCTCTGAATCAATGCAGAGTTCATCTGTCGGAGCGAATTTGTGTATAAATGGTGTAGGTGGCCTGGGAGATGGCAAAGCTGAGTGTAAATTGTCAAGTTTTATTGACCGTGTGTGGTCACTTTGTTCTTTTGTAGGGTAACGTGAAGATGTAAATGTACTCTGCTAAGGATCAGTATCAACCTCTACCTGTTTATCTGTGCAGTATTTAAGTAGGAATTATCTTATCAAGCAGTTGTATAATGTGAGATTGTTCTACTTCTTCTCCCAGTCTTTCACGAGGGATTAGCAGACAGTGAGTGCTATAAAAATTATTCTAGATTCAAGCAGCAGAGAAATCTTCACCTCCAGTCAGTCCCTAACTAATAGCATTTCTGGGATTGCCTTTGTTCTCATTGAAGCTCTGAATGGTGAAGAGCATAAAAAGGTTTTTATGAATATTTATATGGATATTTACATGGACATTCATATGGATAGTTCAATTGTCCTAAGAGAATTGGACTCGGTTCCCTACGGTTTGGACCTCTTGGTTCAGATCAGGTGAGGCTTTTCAGTGCTAGGTGTGGTAGTCTCTGATGAGACATCTTCACGCTACCTTTCAGAGATGTTTTTTAAGAGTGGCATTAGTTACTGACAGGGTTCTTCATTTGCTGTTCAAAGTAATAGAGAAATGTACGCAAGATGACTTCAGCTAGGATCTGACATTACTGTTCCAGCTGCTGGCTGCAGTGTAATCTAAAGAAGCTACACTTAAAGATTTCCTTGCTGTATGGAAAACATCAGAACCTCTGCTTGTCTCTCAGCTGGGAAGGTGCTCTGTGACTGTAATGTACCTCTTTCTGCCTGCCTTGAGAAGGTTTGGGGTTTTCTGCTGGTGCACGTGTAGGCTGGCAGTCACAGTTTGGGTGCTGATGCTTCGCAGCTGAGTGAGGTGCCATAGAGATTTGCTTTCTGGTCCTAAAGACGTCCTGGCCAGTGGGTTTCTTTTTCTCCAGAAGCCTTTCCTACAACGTGCAGGTAGAAGCAGCGTGCACAGCAAACAGCGCGCCAGTCCCATGTTTCTGCAATAATTCTGCTGTACTCACTGTTTGGTTTTGTAGCTGCTGCGTGGGGTGAGAGAAGCAGCAAAATGACAGCGGAAAACCAGTGAACATTGATACTATTTATTATAGGCTCCTCTTTTCTCCCCTCTCTACTGGGAAAACCAATGGTCAGGATCACAGGTACACCATATTCCAGTTTTCAGCACTGCAGAGTTGTTCCTGGTTTCTGTGTTTAAAGAGAGAAGAGTACGTATTGTGTTTGCTTCAGTGAAAAAAGGAATTAAAATCAACGGTTTGCAAGCAGTTTTTGAGGAGTCACTTTTGTATAGGTGTTTATAAGGAACTTCTTGCATTTATCAGTGTGCTCCTAGTGTACCTAATAATAAATGAGCAGGAATTATGAAGGTATCAAAGGAATTAAGGAATTTGAATTATAATTCAAAGTCATAAACTTGTAGGTAAGAAGAAAGTTGGTTAGCAGCTTTTAATATCATTAACTCGTTACCCAAATCAGGTATTAGCTGTATTTGAATAACTATAATTTTTAGCCATAAAAGGATATGCGTAGTCATGGGCACGTGCAGTTCCTTTAACTTTATAACCCTGTTCATTCTCCCAAGGCTTTGCTCGCACAGGGAGAGAGCTGGTCATGGTTTTGCCATCTTTCTTCAGAGATCCTAAGCACTGGAATTCGATCACTTTTAAGCTGTACTTACAAAAAACCCCAAATCCCAGCAACGATGAAAAACCCCCACAAAAAGCCAACCAACCAAAAAGTCCAGCAAGACCCTCCAAAACCCCGCCTGGTCTTTATTTGGTGATATTCTAGGAGGGCAGTGTGACCGTTTCAAAAAGGATGTTGTACAAAAGCTGTTCTTTATGATCGAAGGGGGAATTTAATGAAAATATACCTCGGATTTTGATGAAGCTCATTTATTTCTTTTCCCCAGCAGATTTTAACTGGACCTGGGCTATATTAGTCTCTCTCTTATTCTTCATTTCCTGGAAGGCACGAGGGCAGGTTTTTATTCTCTGCATCACTGAGTGCTTTCAGAACGGCCATTCCCCATGGAGAATCTGCACCTTTTGGTTTTTGTTCATGCATTTCTGTAATTTTACTTGATTGGGTTTTATTCCATTTGAGTAGCACACAGTGATAAGAGGCTTCTGTGGCCCTGGGGGATACCTGATACCTCCTGATCAGTGAATTTGTAGCCGAAATTGCTCATCCACTGTGAAGGTGGGGAACAAATACGGGCAAAGATTTTTTCACTCTAGATCATCTCTCTCCATATGTATTTAATGTGATAAACATTATGACCACTGGGGAACATTTTCTGTTGATAATTTAGAAACTTCTAAATAAAAAAATTAGGGTTGTAATTTTTTTTTTAATTAGAAAGTGAGCATTTGAATCATGCTTAGTGATACTGTTGTAATATGACGGGCTAGAGGCTACATCAGAGTGGTCTCTGGTTTAATTTGCACCTGTTTATGAAGGAATATGAAATGTGAGCCTTGGGTATTTTCCTTCATGCCTTGAATTTCCTTTTTAACTAATTATTATTATATATATATCTAAATTAGTGTGTATGTATACTTTGTTCTGATAAGAATTTGTTTAACACAGTCCATATTCCCTCCCTGGGAAAAGACTCATCGTGTTAACTGTCCGGTGTAAAGTAGCCATGTTTCTTTTTAGATCTGGACTTGGATTTTCTGTTGTAAAGATTTTATATTGCATAAAATCTAGATTTACGATGCTGAATTGACGTATTTCCAGTACCCCCTTTTGGCCCCATCTAGCACAGCAGGGAGTTTTAATAAACTTGATCATGTTTCAGTGGTGCAGGCATCCGAGAGACTTCTTTACCAGACAGGAATTTCTCACCATCTGGTTTTCTTCTGTAATTTTTTTCCATATTTTACAGTTTACTTCACTGGCTTCTAAGCGTAGGGGCAGTAACTGAAGTGTCTCAGAACACAGTTTATAGTGGCAGTATAATTTGCACTATAATATGTACAAATCGTTTGATTGGCAATGTGACATCAGTCTATAAATTAGGGAAAATGGAAGAATAAAGCTCAGAAAATGGTGTATATTTGAATAACTGAAAAAATACTTCTTGAATCTGGTTCAAAATACACACCATACAAACAAATCATTGCCTGTTGTTCTTAGGAAAGACACACAGTGATTATTTTACATCAAAGTCGTAATTCAACAGCAGAGATGGGATTCGAAGTACTTCATCATGGAAAGGGAATATGAAAGAGCTGACCTGTTGCTTTATGTGGGATCTTAGTTTGCCACAGTGCCTACTGGGTTAAATCATCTGGATTTCATTGGATCTACACATAAAGTCTGTTTTTAAATGAACTGTTCCTCTTAAGGGTCAGATTACAGGTTTCTTTTCATGCCCACGTGAATATATATATTATATATATAAATATATATTGTATATATAAAATCAATAAGCAATGCTCCTGCAAATTACTAGAAATAATTGCATCGTTTTGGTAAATAAAACTTATTTGTGTGTTTCTTTGTATGTCAACAGCTGGACATAATCTGAAGTCTATGCAATGTATAATTTATCAAACGTATCTAGCTGAGGTCTCTTAATTCAATTGGGCTATTCAGAACAGTGGAACATGAGCTGTGGCTGATACTCATGCATTTGCACGGTGATGGTTTGCTTCCATCCACGCGTCGATCAGTAACTTGTTTCTGTTGGTGTAAGAGTGAATGGGCAGGGGTACCTGGGATTCTTTACAAACCATTGAAAAAGAGAAGTTAGGGCCTACTGAGGCATGTGGGAACAGGAATGATTACCTCAAGTATTTAGATTAATCAGGTAAGCCTTTAAAGTATATCAGTAAAAATTGCTGCAGGGAAGATGGAAGTACCTTAAGAATACAGCATGAAAACGCTAAGAATATTGTGTATCGAGGTCACCCCTTGTAAAACAGCCTTTTGCATTAACCCATGGATTAAGCTAGCATGCTAAACAAAGGTTTTGGATCATTTTTTCCATCGACAGAGGTATCTGTTTCAAAGCTGAATGCCGGTGTCGGTGGGGCAGAGGAGGGTTGGCGGGCGCTGTGTTAGTTTGGAATGGGTGACGGACAGCCTTCTCTTATTCACAGTTCTCTGTTTCAGACCACCAGTTAGTAGGGCACTGCCACAGCCGGAGAAGCTGCAGACAAACAACGTTGGGAAGAAAAAGAGGCCGATAGAGGTAAGGAAACGTTCATCTCCTCTTCTCTCTTTGTAGAGTTTTATTTCTTTTTTTGGTAGACACACAAATTCTGTCGTTTTCCAGTTTATCAAAGGTGCACGCATTGAATAGTGAGTAAATAGGCAGCAAAAAAAAGTCAAGAGGATTCATTTTTGTAAACCCAAAAAAGCCTGACATTACTACTTCTTGCAAACGAAATGGGGCACAACCTAATTCTTAGTAACGATAAAACCTTTTGAATGCGTCGTGCAGAGGGCAGTATGTGCTGTTTAGATCACTGGGCTGTTAATGAGTGTTATCACTAATTAAGCGTCTTTTACTGCAATTTTAAAAAAAATTATTCTAGAACTTTGTTTAAAATTCATCATCGTTAGCAGTTTTAAACATAAAATAATTGTATAAAGATCTACTCGTGATGCCTTTAGCTCAGGTGGCTGTTTGGGTTATTTTCATTACATGGCCAATGCAAATAAATACCCTCACTCTTGATTAATGTGAACTGGAAATCTCGTCTAACCTGGAAAAATGCACTTCTTCCTATCAACTGAAGTATTTTCTGTGATGTTAAACAATGTGTGGTGTAGCATAGCAGCCTCTTGTCAGCAGTGTTCTGGGAGTGTCAGGCTGTAATTCAGCTTTCTCAATTGCCTGCCGGAATGAAATTGTGGGCCGATATTTGTCATTCTTTGGTTCTTATTGTGTATTTAAAGAGCTGTGTTCTTCTGGCTCACAGTGATTTATTTCTTTATGTGCGTATCTCTTTCTGTGTATATATGTGTGTGTATGCGCATAAATAACAGACTGTGGGATGCCAGGACTGTACGATACGAATGCACAGCGATGTGAGCTGAGGGGGAAGGCAGGATCTCAGTTTCTCTTGGTTTGAGACATCATTAAACTCCTTTACTGCATAAGGACATATTTGAAAAATAAAATCCTGGAAAAGATTGTAAATTCAGCATTGCGTTAAGGTTTAGAGTATCTAATAGATGTAAATATCCCTTTTAGGACCTAATTTTGGAGCTGGTGTTTGGGTACCGAGGCAAGGACTGCCGAAACAACGTGCACTATTTGAACGATGGTGCTGATGTCATCTATCACACCGCCTCCATCGGGATCTTGTACAACGTGGCCACAGGTAGGAGAAAACCCGCTTGAGGAAAGTGGCTTCTTCACATCCGTGGGATCTCAGTTCATGAAGGACCCGATATGCTTTAAATCTCATAAAAGCATGTGGGAAAGTTGTCATTTGTTGCTGAAAATGCAGTCTGTAGAGCTGGTTTGTAATAGCTGCATGAGCAAACTAAACGTCTTGAAATGTTTCTGGTAAAACTCAGTGTTGAAGGAAGTAAAGATTTGATTGTTTTGGCATTGGCTTTCTGAAATTTCCTTGTTAGAATGGTCACAGAAACTCAAACAGCTGACCAGTGGGGTCATAATGGTTGCTTAACATTGCTTCTAAGACTAAGTTAGTGACTTTTTTATTTGGGTTACTTTTCAGTCCTCCGTATCACATATTCGTTCTCAGTAACCAGTTTAGTTCAGATAACTCAGACCTTTTAAACAGTGACACAATGCCATTTGTTTCTGTGATATTTAAGCAACTCAGTGTAGAAAACCTTAGGGAATAGTTCAGTTACTGAGTGCTATGTGTTAAATAAAGATAAAAAAACCTCACCATAAGGCTGTTTTCTAACGACTTCTGTAAGATTTCCAAACATTGACCATGAATGTTTTCACTAAATTTGGACTACTTTTTTTTCAGGCTCTCAGTCCTTTTACCAGGAACACAACGACGATATTCTGTGCCTCACTGTAAATCAGCACCCCAAGTTTACCAACATAGTGGCAACTGGCCAAGTAGGTATGTTTGTACTTTTGTCACACAGAAACTAACGTAAAAGCATGCAACTAGGGCTTGTGAGCTCATGATAAACCACGGAAGTACTGGGTTATGCTATCTCCGTTCGTATGAGTGTTACTCAGTTACCTGTCCTCTTTATGTGTCTCTTCGAGTGCAGTTTAATAAAGCTGAACAAAAACCATTGAGGCATGAAAGCAGATTAAGTTTATCTTTTGCTTGGAGTGATACCAAAAATGCTTTTTTAGAAGTCTTAAGCCCCATGAAATCAGTCTGGTTTTATTTAACTAGCAGCTCGCTTAGCCCTTCCAAAGAGTTGTAGCCCTTCCAAAGCAGCTTAATTGAGTTACCCTTAATTTCTGTAGGAACTAAACCCAGAATTCTTAAAACAGAGGTCACTTGATGTAGGTTTAATCTCATCAGGCAGATTTATAATGCCTACTTGGTGTTTTGATAATACTTGGATTTATTATTCTAGGCTGAACCAAAGCCCTAATTACAGATAAAATTCAGATTTAGGGGGAAACGATGTTTCATATTAACATTAAAATTGATCTGTGAACTAACCAGGTTTAAAAAAAAAATAAATTGAAAGCCACATCGTTTTCCTTAGTGCATAGAATTTAAAAAACCCTTCATTTGATTTAGCCACCATAGCTTCTTTATTATTTTATTCTGTAGGTTTGTTTTTGATGTTTTATGTAATGATGACCAGTTTGCCAGAGTTGATCCCCTGCTTCCCTCCATCTTTTAGATTTTTAGGTGCATATCTTACTCAAATCGACTCACAGGTGGTAGGAACTGCTTAGCTAAAATAGCTTCATTTCTTGGCAAGTTCCTTGCCTCACATCAGTTTAAACAAGTCATAGGTGGAAGTTATTTAAGTGGAACAAAATGATCAGCAGATTTTTTGCCTGTGGTTGGATTGCAAAGGACATGTGCAGGAATTACAAACCTTTCCCTGTCTTTAGGAATTTGCTTTTTCAGTGTATCTCTCAATCTGACCCCATTTGCTTTTCCATACGATAGAATATACAGGAGGGATGTAGGCATAACGTGAAAATCTGTTCTGTGCATGGATTTTCTTCAGTATTTGTCTTACCCAAGGAGAAATGCAGGACCTTTAATGCTTTTTTATTTCATAATCATTTCTACACCGACTAGCAGCAGAACAGTTGTAACCGTTCTGTGATGTGGATTAAGGCGTACAGATCAGAAGCAGATGACACTGAAAAATTAAACCACGAAACATCTTTAAGGACAGAATTAAATCTGAGAAGTAGGCTGGAAGCAAAGTATCTTCAAACACCACTTATTTTTAGATGCTGAACAGATGTTAAGGAGTGCTTACTCCATCAAGAACATAACTGAACTGCTGCTGCTTTCCCTACCGATGCGGCTGGCACAAACACAGCCTCACCATCAGGGTTTAAAGCTTCAGAGGATTTACAGAACATTGTTTCAAGTGTTTCTAAGCTGTAATGCTTTTATGCAGCGCCTTGGTGATACTTCCCAGTACCTGAACCTTCATAATCCTGATTTCTCAATGGCTCTATGAAGGAACGTTGGGTGTATTTGCCTCTTCTCAAGATCAGACTCAAACCTTAATTGTCGGAATAGCAATACTTTCCCATTTAATTTGCTAAAATATCAGTAACGTGTAACTTTTTAAAATAAACATTTTTTACTTAGCTTGGCAGAGAGAGACCAAACATACACCAAACCTAGATTTTTGTGTTGTAACTCAAAATGCAAATCAAAATATATCCATTTTAAGGACTTTTCTTTCTGGTGTGACCGCCTTTCATGGGTAGTTGTTCATCTTTAACACTAAGAGCAGTATTGGTGCTGCTGCAGTGCAGAGAGATGACATCGAGGTGTGTGTTAAGAAATTACACTAAATATGGCATATATTTTCTTTAGCACTTCTCTTGTGTCTGGTCTAATTATCTTTCTGCTGCTTTTCCATTACAGGAGACTCAGCAGATATGTCAGGTAAGGGAAATCAAATTTTAACATCTTCAGGTGTAGTTAGCCTGTCTAGGAGCTGTCTACAGCCTTGTAGAGCAAGAAGTGACGTGCGTTCATTTTCAATCTATTAAGACCGTGTATCAGTCATATTGCTGTCAGCACTGAACATAAACCATAACAGCTCAGCAAATTATAAATATGGCAACAATTAAGATGTTAGAACACACTTAAAAACGATTTTTGTTGTAACATACTCCCTTCCTGCTGCCTGGTGATTAGTGAGTTCTAATACATCCCGCTGCTGTACCTGTGTACCCGTGCAGGCTCTGTAGACGTTGGGGCTGGCAATTAACACTTGTTTGAAACACTGAATTATCACTTGAAATACGCATTTCTAAAGCCGATACCATTGAGGAGGCCTAGGTGACTGAGTGAAAAAACCAATCACCTTTCACATCTGTGTCTGGTCGTCGTGCGGTTATTTCCACTGATCCAAAATGCTTGTCGCGATATCAGTTTATTGTTTTCTGGGTCATTTTGGGTCTTCCACTGCTTGATAGTCTTGACTGAACTGAATTTTATTAATATGTTGGTTTTTGAACTGTGATCTTAAATATTCATTGCCATCCTGTGTGAATGAGTTCACCATTGAGCAGCCGTAATTGTCTTGTGCCACATCTGCAGAGATGCATAAACGTGTGTTCGTGTGTGGATCTGCAGCTTGTTCTGATGGCATTTTTAATGTGTGCTGACTTCTTTTAAGTATGCCAAATTGTGCTTGCTCTACGGATGGGAGGAAGAACATAGGTACTTTTCCCAGACTTCTAGACTGTTTAGCAGAAGCAGTGATGATATGGTTGTTTATATGAAAACCTGTAGACTTTCCCTCTCACTCGCCTTCTTCCTCCTGCAACGTCACTTTGAGCTTGTGTACGTTACTGAATTCTGCTGTCACTGCCTGAAACCAGAGTTCCTTCTTTCTGGAACCATGGGTCTGCAATCACAGAATCACAGAATCACAGAATGGCTCGGTTGGAAAAGCCCTCTGAGATCATCACGTCCAACCGCTCCTGTCTACCCACTAAACCATATCCCTAAGTACCTCGTCTACCCGCTCTTTAAATACATCCAGGGATGTCAGGCCAGCTGCTGCTTGGCCTTCATTAGAGAGCTGCATAGTTTTACTTAGAAATTTATTGAAGGCTATTTGGCGTGTTTCTTACCGACACCTTCTGCTTTGCCAGTTCCAGTTTTCTGTGGCCATGTTTGCAATGCGCTGGAATGGCAAATTATGTTTCGTAATGACTTAGTATGGGTTTGCTAAGGTGTCTTTTGTGCCACCAGTCCATGGTAGCTCTATCTGACTTCTCCCAGGAGGTGACTCCTTAGAAAACCTCTTGTGAGAGCAGATGTTGAGCAGATGTTGAGCTCCACAGGCAGGACGCAAGCTCAGGACAGAGAATTTCAGAGCACCGTCAAACAGGAGACTCGAGAGTCCGCGTTCTCAGTCCTGCAAATCTTCCCCTGAAATACATTGTCCATTCTTATTTATGAATTCTGGATTAAATTCTCTGTCTGCCACCCAAAAGAAAAGTTTGAGGGACTGATTCAGCTGGTGAGGAACACAAAGTGTGGAGCTGAAATCGAATTTGGTTTGTGCGAATCTGGGTCTGTGACAGCAACCGGTAACCTCCGGATCAGAAATAAAGAAGTTTGAGACAGGACCTTACTGGCCTGGAGATGCCCTGGATGCTCTTCAGAGGTTGCAAACTATGCAGAGATTGCAGGAGCTATGGAGAAAGCGTTGTACATGGAAGAAGACAGCTGTCATCGTGACGGGAATAGTCAGTAGCATGGAAAGACGGTTCTTGCAGCCTAAACTATAAATCCTGAATTAAGCACCCTAGTTCTTCTCCATCAGTGAGCAAGCTGCTGATCCAGCCGACGTTCTCCTAAGGGCATGCATTTCAGACAGATGGCCGTTTTGTAGAAAAGGAGATTTTGGCCTTGCACTGTAAACTGACTGCTCTGTAGCCATTAATTGTCCAAATGCCCCATGTAGAAGTGACGTTCTTGATGATCTGCTGAATATTTCTGAAGGTTGCTGAGTTTGCACGCTGAGCTGAGTTTTCCTGGGAGGAAATGGGAGAAGATCTCTTGCTTTCAGAGCTGCTGCTCTGCTTCACAAGTCCAGCCATGGATTAAGCAGTTTTCATCCACAGTCGTGTAATGAGACCAGCGTCTTAGTCCTACTTCATGATCCCATTTGCCGTAAATCGGTTTCCAAAGAGAGGCCAAAATCTCCTTTCTTCTCTGTTATTTTTTTTCCTGTCTGACCAGAACATTTTTGCCTTCTTAAAAAACACTTGACTGCTTCACTGAGAAAATACTGAGCCATCTTCAAAACGTCTCCTAATGCCCTGTTTCTGTATCCGTGCAGCTACAGCTCCCTCCATTCACGTGTGGGATGCGATGAACAAGCAGACGCTGTCGGTCCTGCGGTGCTACCATTCCAAGGGCGTTTGCTCCGTCAGCTTCAGTGCCACTGGCAAACTGCTGCTCTCCGTGGGGCTGGATCCCGAGCACACCATTACCATCTGGAAGTGGCAGGAAGGTAGGAAAGCCGTGGTTTTTCTAGGATGTGTTTCTATTTTTTCATTATTTTTAACATATATATTTTTTATTATTTATTACTTTTTATTTGCTCATATTTTCAGAGGTACGTTGGCTTGAGTTAAGAGCAAGTGTAGCATTAAAATATCAGCAGATTGAAAATTATTACAGTAAATGCGGTGCAGCATGCACTGCACAAGAAGAGGTAAAATAAATCCACTTATACATTCTAGGAAGTGCTAAATGAGTCTTCTTTGGAGCTGCTGTGTAAAGATCAAGATAGTTCATTGATTTCCAGCTGGAATAATTGAAGAAAATTGTAGTCTTCACTCATTTGTTTTCATTTCAGTCGTTTCTGTGCTGCTTGGTAAAAACTCTTCATGAAATCGTTTTTGCTCCCAGAGGAGAGTTTCTGTTCTCCTCAGTTCTTATTCTCCTCTAAAGTCTGATTACTCCCTAGGTTGTTCTACTCTTAAAATTATCCCCCCAAAACTGCAGATTGCAGAACTGTGATACCAGTACAGCTCCTCTGTGCAGCCACGTGATGGGTGTCTTACTGTATTACACGTTTTCAATCCAAGCTCAGGATTTAGGGTAAAGCAACGTGGTCGTCTCCTTTCCTCCTCCTCTTTCTGTCTGGCACAGCCATGCCAAATTGCAGAATCATCAAATGGTTTAGGTTGGAAAAGACCTTGGAGATCATCGAGTCCAACCACAAACCTCACACTGACCAGTCCACCACTAAACCATGTCCCTAAGTGCCACATCTACACCTCTTCTAAATGCCAGGGATGGGGACTCCACCACTTCCCTGGGCAGCCCCTTCCAGTGCTTGACAACCCTTTCAGTGAATATAGTTTTCCTAAAATCCAATCTAAGCCTCCCCTGGTACAAGTTGAGGCCATTTCTTCTTGTCCAGACCTGATGCTCTCTCTCTGGAGATGTCCATTGATCAACCAGAGTCTCTGAGAAGTTTGAGAATAAGCTCTCAAGTTAATAAAAAGTGATCCTGCACAGCTCGTCTGCTAGGTCCTGTGGGCCTGGGCACAATGTCAGATGTATATACATATATATATATACACACATATAATGTATATATACCCACTTTGCTACTGGGTCTTACTAAATGATTTTTTGAACCTGCATCTTAATTTAGTTTTAATTGAGGAGCAGTTTGTGCTTTTCTTCCTCACCTGTGTGATCTTGGATGATTCATCATTCTCCATACTTTTTATTTATTATTATTTTTTAACCACAGATGCGTATTTATACTCAGTGAATTCAAAATGTCCCTTTCTCTTTCGGCCAGGTGCCAAAATTGCCAGCCGAGCTGGTCACAACCAGCGTATATTTGTAGCAGAGTTCAGACCAGATTCGGACACCCAGTTTGTTTCTGTGGGAGTCAAGCACGTGCGGTTCTGGACCCTGGCTGGAAGAGCTCTTCTCAGTAAAAAAGGGCTGCTCAGCTCCATAGAAGATGCCCGGATGCAGACGATGCTGTCTGTAGCTTTTGGAGCGGTACGTGCCTTAACAAACTATTCCAAAATGCATACAAGCAAAAATGTTTTGACTCTTCTGCCTTTATTCAGTTCAATGAGACTTTTCTAACCTGCTAAGGAGTACGTCTGTTGTTTTATTTAACTCAGTTTAGTGTTTCTGATACTTGCCTGCTCGTTAGGACTAATGCCAGCTTGCTTTAGAACAGAACAGAAAAAAGATTATGGGTTTGTATGTGTTCCAAGGCAGCAAACTGGACTGATAATACACTGCTTGGTATTTAATCCAGGCAAAACGAAGCTGACTCTAGACTCAAACAGGATGGGGCTGATGCAATGCCCACCTAGGGGTGTTTGTATTATAACCTGTACTCATGGCTGCTGATGGGTGACCTGAGAGCAGCTGTGCTGGGCAGTCGTTAGCAGCAATGCTGTTAAGCAGTAGAGATCTTCCAAATGATGGCTTAGAGGTGCACGGCCCGGACGTTGTCTGGATTTGGGAAACCTCTCTGCACTTGCAGGTTCTTGGTGTGAAAACCAGGCTATGTGCTGAGTGTCCTGGGGCATGGTTGGGGTTGGTCAAGGATGCAGAGATGCAGGGGTTGCCCTGCAGGTTCCTATTGCCTCTTCCACAATTTCGTCTTCTACAGCACAAATAAAATCAACCTAGCCTAAATGCAGATGGTCAGGATCTTTATTTCTGAGTGTTTTTCTTCCTGCCTTACTCGGACTCGGATGATGAGTTTGTTTTTCCCCTTTTCAGAATAACTTGACGTTTACAGGTACTATCAGTGGAGATGTTTGTGTCTGGAAAGATCACGTCTTGATACGAATTGTGGCCAAAGCTCACAACGGGCCTGTTTTCACAATGTACACCACGTTAAGAGATGGTTTGATCGTCACAGGAGGCAAAGAGAGGCCGTGAGTCGACTTATTTTCTGTTTGATGAATCAGACTCTAAGTGCTGTACAAGTAGTTCTTCATCATTCTAACTTCTAGATAACCCTAAAGGACACATGCAAGCTTCTTCAGGCTTTTTATGATGGCTGTACATTATTCTAATTAAAATAATGGGCAAGAGTAAAATAAATTATGTTAATAGATTATCCATTATCAATATCCAATAGATATTCCATTATCAGTTATACTGCATTACAGCAGTCAGGTAATGTTTCTCCAAGTACAAATACATGAATTATCAAAGGGATGATGCAGTTCTCCCTCCTTAAGCTGAAAAGGGCTATTATAATATGTTATAATAACTATTATGAATATAACAATAACTATTATAATCAACTAGAGCCTTGAAATCACCTTTCCATGATACTAAATGGTTCAGGGGTATTTATCACAGCAGTATTATTTCGAGAGAAGACAAACACATTTAGTTTGAAATACAGCTTTAAGCGTTAAAAAGTTACCTGGTCCTTGGTGGGTTACTTCTGAAGCTGAACTGAGTTGTTAATCCAAGTAATTTGCACAATTAAATAAATGAACGGTAAATACAACAGCAAAATGCACAGCTTCGTTTAAAGGAAGGGTCTGTTTAGTTATGAAGGCAAACTGTCTTCTCTCAGATCCAAGGTGTACAGCAACATCCCTTGTTTCTGGGGTGTAAGCAAAATATCTCTTCAAGCATTTCATTTGTTTTTAGTTATCTTGCTAATGATAAAATAAAAAGAGCGCTTCAGCTGTGATACAGCCCATCAGATGGCGTGATAGTGCCCCTTTCTGCAGGACATGGGCCACTTACTGCCTTTTCCTTAAATAGTCCTTAAAGACCTTGGTTGGTATTCAGACCCAGCTGAAAATGTGTTTATTCCTGTGCTGAAATATTTTCTTCTGATATTTATAAAACATCGCTGTGGTTTTATTTGGAGAATGTTCTACTGCTTAGCTTCAGAGCCTCTTAGTAATCAGTGTTTGACCTGAGAGAAACAGTAATGAATAACAGTAAGAAACAGTAATTCATCTCCTTTGGAGCGTTGAAAGTATAGCAGACAAATCCTGCTTTTAGGAAAATTGTGTGTTTACTTCTGCGTTGGTATTTCTAATTGCAGTTCACTTCTGATAAAATCTTGTGAGTATGATGACCACTCATACGTGAAACAGTACTACTGGGAAGCAAGGAATATTGCATTGCAAGGACTAGCAATGTATTTTATATATGTATACATAATATATTATATAGATATGTATTTTATATATATGTATTATATACACACACACACACACATATATATATATATAAAATGTATTATATATATTATACATATAATATAGATAGGTAATTTACTTGTCTTTTTTGTGCCTCCATTGCACTCGTGGTTGTTCCCGGTTTCTCCGCAGCTCCAAGGAAGGAGGAGCAGTGAAGCTGTGGGACCAAGAGCTGAAGCGCTGCCGTGCCTTCCGCCTGGAGACGGGACAGATGACGGACTGCGTGCGCTCCGTTTGCAGGGGCAAGGTAAAGAGAGCATCGTGTCTTCAGCGTAGAGCTCACAAGTTGTGGGTTGACCTGTGTGTTAAATACATGATAAACTGTTTGCTTCCTCTTTCTCTTATAATTAGTATTTGAAATTAAAAGCTAGAAGGTGTCTACATCCGAGGAAGAAAAACCTGCTTTGGGAGATCTTAGCTGTACTTAGGAGGATATTGTGTGCATATTTTTATTGGAGACTGAGTAAAGATTTCTATTTCCTGTTCTTTTCACACTTCCAATATCTGACTTAAAAGCAATAACTGGCGTCATGATTTGTATAAAGCTTTGTACTGTAATAAATCATGCATGAGTATAAAAAATAAATAATCTTGGGTTATTTGGTTGCTTGATTTCAGCAAACCCTCTTGGCAGGATGGTAGCTTTGGATTATAGCTTTATACTGTTCATCACGAGGATTTAATATATTAAATATATGCATATATTAATGTAATATATTAAATTTATTAATA